AAAAAAAAAGAGATTAACTTGGCTTGATTCAAATATCAAGTTAAATGCTAGGCCAAGGTGTTATTAGACTGCTAACTGATTAGAAGTTTCTCCTACTACTCTTGTTAGGCCTGATGGGATCCATAATTCCTTCCAGAATCTGCTTCCTAGTGTTCTCTTCCCAGGCATTCTCTCCTTAGCTTGATCATATTATTAAACTTATTTGTATATATCTCACCCCACCTCCATTAGATCATAAGCTCCTTGAGGTCAGCAACTGTGATTTTATGTTGGTTTTAATCTTTGTGTTCTCATTTAAATAACATAATCACCATATTATTTCTATTGTCATAGGAACATAGATTCAGAAATGGAAGAGAACTTTTAGGCCATCTAGTCCAGACTCATCATTTTATGCTTGAAGAAATGGAGTGCCATAGAGGTGAAAGGCCTTACTTAAGATCGCAGTGTATATAACACAGTGCCTGGTTCAAAAGTAAGCCCTTGATAAATGCTTTGCCCATGCCAGGCACTTTCATTCTTTATCAGACCCTGCTCCTGGGGATCCTAACTTTGCCCCCTTTCATCCTAACAAATAAAATTCACTGGCTCAGCTCACAGGATCAAAGATCCCAGATTTGGAGCTGGAAGTAACCTTAGTGGCTATTGAGTTTAACTCTTTCTTTTTTGGAAACTGAGGTTAAGATAAGTAAAGTGATTTGCCCAGGTTCACACAGCTAGTAGCTATCTGAGTTGGAATCTGAATCCAGGTCTTCATACAAGTCCAGTGTCCTCTCCACTATGGCTAGCTCCCCCCACTTCCCTCAGGCTTCTCTCATGATTCACTCATGAGAGTGAATTTCCTTTTCTAGTCACTCGTAATGCTAGTGTCTTTCCTCTGAGATTATCTCCAGTTTATCCTGTAAGTATCCTGTTTTTGCGTAGTTGTTTATGTTGTCTCCCCCATTAGACTGTGAACTTCTTGAGAGGATGAGTTTTATTTGTTTTTGTTTTTCCTTTCTTTGTATCCCCAGTTCTAAGCATATAATAGGTATTTAATAGGTACTCATTCATTTGACTCAAATCCTTTCTCTTCCCCCCCAAAAAGTCTATTCTCTTCAGTTTTGTAATAAAAACACCTTACATATACCATAACAATTACATTCTTCGCCAAAATAAGAGGAAGGCCATACTGTCAGAAAAGAATGGTCAGAAATACACTTTAGGTTTAGAAGTCAAGCTGGGCAGAAATTTTTTCTATAGAATATGAGTTATTCTCTGAGCCATGGGAATTTAAGGTCATCTTCCCTATTTGCCCCCAAAAGACAATGTGATAGAAGGAAAGGATGACATTTCCCCTGAGGTTGTGGACCTCAAGGATGGGCCTCATTGAAGTCCCTAGAATTTCAGTTCTTCGGAGATGGTGTATTTGTCAGAGAGAGTGATTGTAAAAATTGAATCAAGCCTTTCTAGGTCCTTTTGGACCTAGATGTAGTCCTTCTCAAGATAAAAAAATGCTATCCACAACCATAGAGAGAACTGATGAACTCTGAGTACAGATTGAACCATATTTTTTTTCTTGCTTTTTTTCGATATGACTAATATGGAAATATGTTTCGCATGACTTGACAAGTATAATAGGTATGGTATTGCTTGCTTTCTCAATGGGTGGGGGAGGTGCTGGAGGGAGAAAGAGAATTTGGGACTCAAAATTTTTTTAAAAGAATGTTAAAAAAGAAAAAAATGTCCTTTCCCTCAACTGTACCCCTCTTTTTATTCAGGAAACCATTTCTACCTTCCTATGTTGTACCACCCTTGTATTTTATATCTATAACAAGCCCTCAGCATGCATGGTGACCCTGGAGAGATGAAGCACCTTCAGGGACTATTTCCTGGGCAGTAAATGGGTAATGAGGTAATCTTCCACTAGCTTCAAGAAAAGTGTCACTTGAGTCTGGTAGCTAAGGGGTATAACATCAGAATTAGGCTAGGAATGATGACAACAAAAAACTGGGAAGACTTCATAAAGAATAGATGATGCCCAACAAACCTCTTCCCTTTTGGATAGGGTTGCAAGTTTAGTGGATAAGGGGAATTCTACTTTTTTAAATGTTACTTTTATTCTAAACTTAAACACCAAGAAAAAAGAGCAGTTCGGTACACATAACACGCGCGCACGTGAGCACACATACACACACACACACACACACACACACACACAGAAGAACCTCCATTTCATATCACTTGCTTTTTCAAAAAAAAAGTATGTAATAAATTGTATACATTACTTTCAAAACGGTCCCATTTTGTGTTTCCTTCTGAACTCACTCCTATTCTATTTGCATTTTAAAAACTGTTACAATGACCCTCTTTTTGATATCCCTTTTGCTATCTCCCACTGAAAAATCAAGAGAAAGAAAGGGGGAGAGGGAAATCCTTTATAAAAACAAGCATAATCAAGCAAAATTAATCCATACAGTGGTCCTATTCAAAAATGTATGTCCTTGTCCATCTCTTATATATCAGGAGGTAAGTAATATGCTTCATCATAGGTATGAGGGGAATCCCATAGTTATACTTTTTCTAGACTTTTCACAAGAAGTATTTGACTTTACACCAATGGAAGGAGTACCCATACCAATAAGATCACAGATCCATCAAAACATATTTACCACACCATATACATCCAATTAAGCATCTTCTTCAACATTATTATTTTGAGAGTTTACTTTGATTACTGGAATGTGGCTAGATACCAGTTCTTTGAAGAAGGATTGTTTTTTAGTAGACCAAAAGCTCATTATGGGTCAACAAGCTACTATGACATCTGGAGCTTTTCCTTTTTTTTCACCCAAAAAGCTAATTCAAACTTTAGGTTGTGTTATACCGAGAAATCAGCGAGTGAGATCCAGACGTAATTTAAGATGTGGATTTATTAGCGTGCAGGCCGCCAGGGGTATTTACATCCAAATCAAGCAGCCCCCATCAGGGGTCGAGCTAGGGTTTATGTAGAAAAGAGCATAGGAAAGAAATGCGAGGAACACTGATGAGGTAATCCAAAGATGCAGGTGTCTTTGGGGGCTATGGATGGGAAAGTACAGGGAGTATACAGGACAGGAAGGGGGATGGATCTTTGAAGTCTGGCAAGAGGAAGAGTTCTTGGGTTGGTCAAGGACACCCCTCTCCCTCTGTCTTGATGAGAGAATGCTCTGCAACAAGGGAAAGCTTTCTCACAACACAGGAACTTACTGAGGAATTGGGAGGCTTCCAGAGACATGATCTGAGGGCTGGGGCCTGAGCAGCCCAGCTCTGTGTAGCTGTAACACAGAGAGAGATAAGAGTCATGCTGAGGCCCATGCATGAATAACTGCTAGGCACAGTGTCCTTGGGCTGGGGAATGGTTGTTAAAGACAGTGTTTCTGAGACTAGGGAGAATTTGGGGCACAAGTACAAGCACAATCACCCAAGCACCCCATTATTATGGATCAGAGATTACACAAACCAGACCAGGTGTCCTGGTCTCTGGTATAAACATAATTATCTAAAGCAATTATATTGCAAGCTTTCTTATCCATTTGCATTGGAGGTACGGGCTATGCTGAGCTATGCAAGAGTACATTTCACTATTGTTTAGATTTAGGAGGAAAGAGGTCTGGGGCAAGATTAAGCACCAACTTTTGCTTTCCATGGCTTAAAGGGCCCTACTACCTAAATGGCAAAATAATGTTCTGTATTACAGTTGCATTAAGAAAAGTGTGGTGTCTAGAACAAGGGTGGTGATAATCCTACTCCACCCTGCTCTAATGGAACCCATGTAAAGTGTTACGTTAACCTGCAAGATCCTTACTGAGGTAGGCTATATATACTTATAGCTATATGAGGCCAGGTAGGAGATAAGTCGTTTGCCATTTCTTCCACCTGACTCTCTTGGAAACAGCTCCAAATAGTTTTCATGCTTCAACACTAGAAAGGAAGAGGAATGGGTCACTCCTTTGATATAGCCACAGAGTTAGTAGCCATTCAGGGGGTCTTAACCCAGTAATGAGTCATACATAGAAGCAGATAGAATCCTAACTGCCATCTGCACACACTCAAGATTCCAGTTCATCTCCAGGAATAGCAACTGAGTATGCTCCAAAAGGGGTTTCAGAGAGTACACCCACTACAAAAGGATGACATTCACAAGTTGGAAAGTATCCAGAGCAGTGTGATTAGAATCATAAAAGATGTTGCATTCATGCCATATGAGAATTGTTGAAAGAACTAAGGATGCCTAGCCTGGAAAGGGAAAGACAGGAGGGACTTATTGATTGGTTTCACCCATTTAAAGGACTGTCATGTAAAAGAGGGATTAGATTTACTCCTGCTCTACTCCAGAAGGCAAAACTGGGAAAAAAGAGTGCCAATTACAAAGGGTAGATAATGGATCACTAGAAAGGAAAATCCCCTAATGAGTACAACTCCCCAGAAGTGGAGTGGACTGCTTCAGTAATTCATGGATCCCCTTTTATTGGAGATCTTGCCCAAGATCAAACAGCTAGTAAGTAGCAATCACAAGCTCTTAGAGTCGGAAGAGATATTCAGTCCCATCTAGTGCAACTAGCTGAACAGCCCCCTCTGCAACATACCCAACAAGTAAGTGGTCATCTAAAACCTACTTGAAGAACTCCAGTGATGGAAATCTGCCCCCTCCAGGAGTAATCCATTCCACTTTGGACTCTTTTATTATTAAGTTTTTCTTAGGTCAAGTTAAAATAGACTTCTTTGCAATTTGACCCATTGCTCAATTCTTTTCTCTTGGGCCAAGCAGAAAAAAAGCTTATCTCCTTTCCCTTCAAATACTTGAAGATAGCTATCATGTCCTCCTCTCCCTCTCCCTTCTCTAGATAAAATACTCCCAGTCCCTTCAAATGATTTTCATAGAAAATTATCTCATTACCCTTCACCAGTCAAGTGTGTCTTCTAACTTCAAGTGCAGCCTACTTTCCACAGTTACTATTGCTTCATTTTCATATATGCAGGACCAGAAGCCTCGAGAGGAGACCCAGGCCCCCAGAAGGTAATTGGAACTCTGGGGGAGTCGGTCACTTTCCTCCTGGAAATTCCAAGGGGAGAGACACTCGAGGATATTACCTGGAGCAAACAAGGTACTATTACTATAGTAACTCCAGGGGAAGAAATAAGAGTGATTGAGAAAAAATACAGAGGCCGAGTGAATGTAACCAGCAGCAACTATTCCCTACAAATCAACAAACTGAGAATAGAGGATGCAGGAGTCTACAGAGCCCAGATAAACATAAAAAACTCAAATATTACCACCACCAAGGAATATAGCCTTCAAGTCTACGGTGAGTATCAAGCACTATCAGGCAGTTTCTATCTTAGGTTTTTAAAACAAGAAATCTATTTCTCTCTAGGAAATAACAGTAGTCACACTGATTATGAGGCTGCATGACTCGGGTTACTACAGTTATGCCAACTGGGGATGAAATGAATTGTAAAACAAGAGGGTTGGACTATATGAACTCTAATGTTCTAAATCCCATTATTCTGGCTTCCAAAAGAGAGTCAGATTTTGACTGTCCAAAAATGTAATGGAATGGGCTGCTTCTCAACTCATTACCATGACTTCTCTATAACTGGAAATTGTCAAGTAGAGGCTACCCATTCGGGATGTATGTGTTAGACAAGTTTCCTATTCAGGTACCAATCGAACTGGAAGACCTCTGAGGTTCCTTTCAATATGAAGTACTTTGAATCTATTCCCACTTTCCCCACCACATCTCCAACTCTACAAATAGGAGTTTTGGAATTGAGAAGTGAAGTTTAAAAAGAAGAAGCAGTGGGTGGAGCACCCTGAAGCAACCGGCCTCTACTCATAAAGAAGGAATTCCAATTAACACTGAAAATGAAGAATACTGCACCTCTTCACTTCCTCTACTTCATGAGTTTAATCAAACTGAAACTAAAATGAGCCCTATCCACTAGCTGTTGATTCAGGGCTTCCCTAACTGACTTCCTGGGCTCTTGTTTGCCTTCTCTGATATTTATGCTCCTACATAAGGGTGCTATTAAATATCCCATTTAATAAAATAACTGACATTTATAAAGGCCTTTAAAGTTTGCGGAATGCTGTCACATTATCTTGTGGTCTCATTTGAAACTCACAATAACCCTTCAAGATAAGTGTTACATTTTGCTGATGAAGAAACTGAGGTTCACAGAGTAACTAAGTGACTTGACCACATACTTGCTCACCTAGTTTGTGAGTTTCCAAAGCAAGAGTAAAGCCAAGGCTCTATTCATTACAGCATACCTCATAGGACTGCCTGGTATCAGTTGACCAGTGGGGTGTGGAATCTGCAGCTTCAAGGCTGTGAGAAATGAAAGAGTTTGGTTTCCACGTAAGTAGATAAGAAATCAGCACAGACAGGCTAACTCCTCCGTCCTGGGGGGTAGAGGTGAGTGATAACACAATTCTAGGCACATAATGTATGTTAGGGGTAGGGCATATAAGGAAGATTGTAACCCAGAAGGATTAGGACCGATCCTGATCCAGAAGGGAGGAGTTAGGCAATTAGTGACTATAAAGATTGCTCTGGCTTCTTTTACCGGGCACATTTTCTCCCCTTCCAAGGAGGTGCACCCGCTTCTCATGAGAATCGAAATGACACACCTCAACCTCTTTAATAAAAAGTCTTTGAGACACCAGTCTTCGGAACTGAGTCTGGGGTCATCTTGATAACAAAGGCCATGAGTGGCCCTTTAGGTCCTCAAGTGCAGCCCTTTGACTGATTCCAAACTTTACAGAACAAATCCCCTTAATAAAAGGATATGTTTTGTAAAACTTGGACTCAGTCAAAATGCCACACTCAAGGACCTAGAAGGCCACAGGTTACCATCCCTGGTTTAGACCAATCAGTCAACTTTATTGTCATGCTTATAGTTATATATGGGTTGTCTGACCCTCTGGCTAATAGCCCAAGATGTATTTTAAGTACAAGTATCTGCTTTCCACAATTTTTTTGCCTTCCCTTGCTGTCAAGCTGCCAACTCTCTAAGCATGCTGTGTGCTAGGCACTGAGCTAGGAATTGAGACTACAAAGACAGAAATGATTTTTTTCCCCTCAAGAAACTTACATTATATTGGAGAGACATCATATACATATATAAATGTATACAAAATATATACAAGATAATTGAGGATGGGGATTAGTAACTGGAAGGATCAGGAAAGATCTCCTGTTGAAGGTGCTTGGGTTGAGTTTTTAATACTGGCTGTATCCATTCAGTAGCTTAGAATATGCCTATGTATATACTTAGGCCACCATTCTGTTCTAGTCAGAGCAGGTCCCTTACTCCCCAAGTCAAACCTGCCAACCTCACTCTCAAGGCCTCACAGGATAGGTCTGAAACTTCTCCTGAGACTAACAGCATTCAGCAAGCTCAGCAGCAGAGTAGAAGAGTTTGATCAAGAAAGAAGAGTAAAATTGAGGCTGACTGATAAGTCATAGAGTCAGCTTAACTCTCATATCTTGTGACTCATATTTTGTGAGCTCCTGAATTCTGGCTAAGACATGTCCTTTCACCATTTCTCCTTTCATTCCCTTAATAGAGTCAGTCTTACGGGGTGAGCAGAGACAAAACTGGTGGGGAATAGAGGCAGGTGGATTGGATTCCATAATCCTGGTATGAGCAAACTCCTGAAACCTGAGAGGGTAGGGAGAATGAGTTGCTGTTTCCATGGAGTTGGGAATGGACTTGGTGAAACTGTAAATACAGTGATAAGAACATTGAATCTGGAATCAGAAGACTTAGATGTGAGTTCTACGCCTGCTAGTAACTATCAAGGCAAACTTTGACTGTCTGGGCCTCGGTTTCCTCATCTGCAAAATGAAGATATTGGTCTAGATCAGAGGTTCTTAACCTGAGATGTATAGATCCCCAAGGTGTCCTTAGATAGATTTCAAGGGGTATATGAACTTGGATGGGGAAAGAAATTACATTTTCATTTTCACTAACCTTTAACTGAAATTTGTCATTTCCTTTCATTATGATTTTAAAAAAAACAACAAATGTTATTCTGAGACAGGATCCTGAGCCTTCACCAGACTGCTATAGGGTCCATGACATAAAGAAGATGAAGAATTTCTGTATTAGATGACCTCTAAGGAACCTTCCCTCTCTATGAGTTTAAATTTTTATCTCTCCCTTCACTGCTACCATTATCTTGAATTAAGTAATCAGTTTTTCTTGGGGGGGCAGAGGAGGGATACACATAATTTGCCTGATTTTTATTGACCTCATGGTTTAATATCACCTTCCCTCACACAGAGCAGCTGACAGAACCCCAAATCAGAATGAATTCCACTGTGTCTGAGGATGGCCATTGCATTGTCTTCCTGATATGCTCTGTGAGTGCTGGAAGAAAAGATGTGACATATAGCTGGTCACCCTTGGGTCCAAATGCTACTACATTCCATGGAGGATCTGTCATCCAAATCTCCTGGCCATCCTGTAATGCTGCTTGGACCTACACATGCACAGCCAGGAATCCTGTAAGCCATAAGAGCTCCCAAGTCACCCCTTCTTGGGATTTCTGTTCAGGTACCAACTCTTTCATTTGTCTTTGGTGACTCTCAGCAGCCCCTGAGTAGCTACAAGGATTTGACCTTAGAATATTTTCAAGAGATTTATAAGATCTTGATCTCCAGCTTGAGCCCTACAAGGATACCTTATGCCAGATGAAGTACACAACCATCCAGACATGAATCCCAAGTGTCCTCAGAAAAGCAACTCTGTCCTCCCCTTTCTTATTCCTAACTCTTCTCAAACAAGCTTTCACATTCCAATAGCTACAAAGACTCCCTAGGCCTCCTAGGAAATGACAATGTGAGAACTCAGTCCAATTGCTTACATAGTCCTCAAAATGATCTATGCATTAATTACTATAATACTCTAGCATCTTGGAGGTCACATATTTAAACATGCACAAAATACAGTTGAGAACAAGGAAGAAAACAGCAGTGAAGATTCGGAGGAGCTAAAATAGAGATCACAAAAGTCTATGTACAAAATTCCAAAACTCACATTCTTTACAAATAGAAGATGCTTCACCATTATTCAGAGCCCATTTCCTCTATATCTGCACACAATTCTAACAAGTCTGATTCTCTGGTTTCCTAGGCCAGAATAGACTGAAGAAGGACATTGAAAAGATAGTTTGGGTAGGGGTGGGGCGCTACTAGAGGCAGCAACAATAAACAAATGACCCCTGGCAGCTTGACAACAAGGGTAGGCAAAAAAAAATTGTAGAAACCAGACACGTGAACTTAAAATACATCTTGGGCTATTGGCCATAGGGTCAAACAACCCATACATAACTATAGAAACCATATATCAAAGCCTGTGAATGTATCCCTGTATTAAAGCCTCACAGAATAGTGGTGTATTTTCACAATGATAACCTTGATTCATCCAGAAAATATTCATTTGTGTTCAACATATTCTATACTATAGAAGAGAAATGCATACAGGGATGGGCTGGTAGAAGAGTGAAGGAGATGAAGGTGAATATCTAGAATCAGGGAGGAAGGACTGAAGTTCGGGGAGGAAAGAGGGGTGCCTGAGAGTTCATAAGGAAGTCATATGACATAAAGGCAAAAGACAGTGATAAAGGCAGGAGCTGAGGAGGCTAGGGAAGGAGTATGGCCTAGACCTAGCCTGGCCTCGTAGTGAAAAAGCCAGTTATGAACGACTAGACTACAGACTCTGAATAAGAGCATCTTATTTTCAATTTAATTAACATGTTAAAGCACCTACTATGTGCCAAGCACTATGTGAAGTGCTGGGGATACAAATAAGAAAAAGAAAAATAGTGCCAGTCATCAAGAAGCTTACAATCTAATTGGAGGAAGACAACACACAAAAGGAGAAGGGAATGGGGAGGGTGACCATATACCCAGGGCTATCTTGTTCCCTGAAGCTGAAATCAAGCAGAGCAGTAGATGCAAAGCAGAGTGAGCTGAAAGTTCAATTCTGTCATCTATAAAGGAAGGTTTTGGAAGGAATTTGGTACTCCACCTTTCAGCCCTCCAGTAAGAGGGGAAAGGTGGTTGAGGGAGGTTGTATCCAGGCTTAAGTTAATGATGAATTTATCCTCACTCAAACCAAACCAGGTCTGGAAAATTACCTAAGGGCCAAAGAAAGGAATAAAATGAGGATGAAGTTCTTATCCTCTATGGCCTGTGAGTGTTCCTTGGGAATAGCAATAACGTGGTAGATTATGGAGTTAAGTGCCCGTGGAGGGAAAGAAAATGAAGATGACTCAGGGGGAAAACAGGGACATTATAGAGAGAAGGAGACTCAAGGGCCTGGAGAGGCCTTGAAGCTCTGGACAAAGGGAGCTAACGCTTCAATTTCTAATCTGCCTCTATAGGGCCAGGAACCTCAGAAGGGAACTCAGTTCCCACAATAGTGATTGGGACCTGGGGGGCCTGATCACTTTCCCACTGGAGATTCCATCAGGAGTTGAGAGTGTTGTCTGGATTTCAAATAATTCTCTTATCAAGACAGAACCAGGAGAAATGGGAAAGCTGAACAGAGTCAAGACCCAGAGACATGACAGAGGCAGAGACCCTGCCCAGGACTTCTCCTTCCAAATTCCTAATGTACAAATGGAGAACCAAGGACTCTACATAGCCTATGTATGCACCAACTCCTCCACAGTCCCAATAACACACCAGTATTCCCTGCAAGTCTATGGTGAGTTTCAGGACTAAGAACCTGATAGTTAAGCTGTTTCTCCAAGTCACTTAACCCAAATTGCCTTTTAAAAAAAAAAGAAGATATTTTGGGGCAGTTAGGTGGTGCAGTGGATAGAGCTCCAGGCCTTAGAGTCAGAAGGACCTGAGTTCAGATCCAATTTCAGGCATGTGACACTTGCTAGCTGTGTGACCCTGGGCAAGCCACTTAACCTCAATTGCCCCACCAAAAAATAAAACAAAAAATGTCAGTGTGCATCAGAGGTGCCAAACTCAAACTCAGGCAGGAGCCACTAATCCACAGATAAGGATTCCTGTGGGCTGCATTCTTAAACGAGATGCTTACAATGTGGCACCATTTATACTTTGCTGTGTTTTCATTTGTTTTGCTGAACACTTTCTGATGACATTTTAATCTGGTTCATGCCCCACTTGGGAACGTTGTTCCATGTGTTTGACATTTCTGGTGTACATAGTATTATACCCATTAGATAGATGTGGTAACTGAAGCTTAAGTGCCCTCAGTCACAAAATTAGTCAGTGTTAGAGCCAGGACTTAAACACAGGTGCTTGGACTCCAGGTTCAGGGTGCTTTACACTATACAACAGCCCTTCTTTGACTTCTTAAGGTTCAGTACCAAGGAGAATTCCTTACAGAGCCAGTCTCCCCCCCCACCCCAAAAACCTACTTAGCTACGGGGAGAAGAATTGTGAATGGGAGAGGTTCTAACTAATTCCTCCTTTTTTATTCCTTTCCAAGACTTGGGAAGGGTAGAATGAGATAGGGAAGATTTGGGTATGTAGTTGAGAATTCAAGGATTTTAGATCTAGAGCTGGAAGGAATCTCAGGGACCATCCAGTCCAACCTTATTTTACGATAAGGAAACTGTGGCCCAGAAAAGTTAAAGCATTTTCAGGAAGTCACACAGTAAATGAGTGGCGGGGCTGAGATTGGGACCAAGGTCATGCAAACCTCAAATCCAGCACTTACACTGCCTTTCATTTGATGGTGTAAAGAAAAGAGAAACTGTCTGCGTGTTGGGGAGAATGGATTCTATCCCAGTGCTGCCACTAACAAGTCTGCCCCATGTCCTCTCTGGGCTTCAGCTTCCTCATCAATAAAATGTGACTAGAGGATCTCTAAGCTCCTTTCCTGACTTAAATCCTGACCTTGTATTTGATGAGTGTAAAGACTAAAGTTTTGGGGATAAGAATTCTTTATTTAGTAAAAAATTGTTGGGAAAACTGAAAGCAGTCTGACAGAAATTGGGCACAAAACAATATCTTACATCATTTACCAAGAAATTCAATGCTTTATAAAACTTATGAAATAAAAAGTCAGATTGTGGAGGAGGTAGCCAAGAAGGTGATAAAGGCAAAGGGGAGATGAAAAAAAGCAGGTTTCCCCCATAAGGGAAGCTTGCCTAGGTTTTAAGTTTCATTTATTTGTTTGCTGTGTTCATTGAATTATACTGAGAGGGAATTTCCTCTCAAAGGAGAAGTTTGCCTTATTGCTCTGTTTATTTTCTCCTTTAAAAAAAAAGTTGTTCTTTTGTGTACAGGGCCAAAAAGCAGCATGATATGATGAGAAGTCCAGTCACTTTATATACTGATGTAGGGATTTGTTTTTCCGGACCACACATATTTATATGGAGGATTTTATTTCCTTTATTTTTATTTGCTCATTTTGAAAGGAGGGCTAGAAGAAACAAATTATAAATGCTTATAAAAATATGTGTGCACATTTTCTTTTTAAAATGAAGGCATTGGATGAGATTGTTTTTGAGATGCCTCCCAGCTCTAGAATTTTGTCTGCCTCCTAAGACATCCAATTCTACAATCTGTTAGCTAGTAGATATTTGGATCTGGATTTGAACTTATGTCTTTTGGACTCGAGGTCCAGCACTCTGTCCATAGTACTTCTTAGCTACAGCTCTGTATTTAATTCTCTTTTGTGTTCTCCTATATATGAGGTATTCCAAAAGTCTTAGTTCAGAGTTCAGTTTTAGCCTTTAATAGCTTATGGAAATATCCATTTTATTTGTTATTTATTAAGAAGAAACTAAGTGGCACAGGGGACCTAGAGTGATGGACCCAGAATCAAGAAGATGAATTCAAATCCAACCTCAGATACATACTAGCTTAAATCTGTACTCAGAGGTTTTAGCATCTTATAAAATAATATAATGATAATAATAATAATAATAACAAGTAGTAGTAGTGGTGGTGGTGGTGGTGGTGATATAAGTAATAGTAGTAGCAGCAGCAGCAGCAGCAGTAGTAGTAGCAGTGCTAGAGGTCCTCAAGTGGAGAATGAATGATCATTTTTATGGTATATTGCTGCAATATTCCTGAATAAGTCCAGGTTAGATTAGATAATCCCTGAGGTTATTTCCAATTCTAAAATTCTATGATTTCATGACTTTGATAGGGAAAATAGCAAACTGCAGCATGGAAAGACTTCTAAAAAAGGAGGGGAGGGGATTTTCAAAACATCTGGGGTAAGAGTTTTTAAGACATTGACATTGGCAGGAAAGAAATCAACAGAGAATTTGGCCCACCACTCCTCACGAGACTATATCTTTTCCCCTCACACAGAGCAGCTAAAGAAAGTTAATGGTACAATGAACTCGAGGACCAATAAGAACCAAACCTGTACCATCACAATGACCTGTCAAGTGCAGGGCAACAGTTATGGAGACAATGTGACATACAGTTGGACACCCCTAGGGGAAAAAGTCCTTGTGTCCCATAAAGGGTCTGTCCTCAGTGTTTCTTTGAGACCTGGGTACCATAAAGTGAACTACACCTGTACAGCCAGAAATCCAGTCAGCAACAGCTCTCACTCCTTCCCAGCTTGGCAGCTCTGCCCAGGTAATTCTCTCTGTCCCCTTGTTCTGCTATGGTCTCTCCCCACCTCCACCCCCAACCATCTTTGCTTCCTTAGAAGTTCCCATTGACTAGGGCAGGGGGGCTGACAGTTAATTAGGAGTCCACTGAGCAACAGGAAGCAGGGATCAGGGAGGAGGAATGAATAATGTAGGAGAGATGGTATTTTATAGTAGAAAGAGTGCTGGGCCAGAAGTTAGAAGACTTGGATCCATTTCCTGCACTACTACTTACTACTTGAATGATCTTGATTAAATCAATTCATTCTGGGTCTGTTTTCTCATATGTGAAATGAGGCGGTTGTACTAAATCAGGGTTCTTAACCTTTTTGTGCATCATTGACCCCTTTGGTGCAGCCTACAGAACCCCTTCTCAGAATAATGCTTCTTAAATGTACAAAGCAAAATACAACAGATAAAAACACATAAAATAATGAAATAAATAGGGAAAATAAATTATATTGAAATATGTAGCCCCCATCTCAAAACTCATTGGTATAGAACATTCTCCTTATTGGTGGAGATGAAAGCTCTGCCTATATGAGGGGTGGCTCAGAGTTGGCAAGAGGTAAGAGCTCCAGTCTTCTACAGTCTACTTCAAGTTCCCTTTGGGCACTCATCAAGTGGGATTTTTTCTGAGTGAGTCAGCTTCAATTTGGAGAGAAAAGATGGAAGAGGCCAACCCTAATTCAGGTTGCTGAACTGGGAAGACATGAGAGGAGCAGGCAGTCTCCATCACGTCCTATTTCTAGGCTGCTACTCTAGAGACTTCAGAGTTTTCCCTTGGGTGAGATGAAAGACGTTCTTGGTTGAACTGAATTCCCTCATTCCCAATGGGAGAGCTCCTTCATTCTGTTTTATCTGGTACATATCCTCCTATGTTTACTTTCTCTAATGTCTATTTTGCTATGATTTGGATAAATGGGTTTCTTTACTATTTGTGATGTGTGTTCAAGGTGGAACTAGTATTAGGTGGGAAAGAGCTTAGGGTCCCCCTTCCCCTCAAAATAGCAAAATGATCAAAAGTTAGACGGAACTGAATCATATCTCCTAGACAATATTTAGGGGAGCAGATAGATATACTTCTAGTTTGGTACTTCCTCTCTCTGAAGAGAGCAGAATGGTGGTCTTCAGCCACAAAATCCAGTTTCCCCTTCTGGCAGTAATGAAAATCTCCCTTGGAAAAAGATAGGGGGTAAAGAAGAAGGTAGAGATGTCTATTCTGCCTCCCTTTGAGTTATACAGGAACAACCCTTTTTGCCACATGGGAGCCTATCTATATATGAGGGGTCTAGTACATTACTTTCAAATATTATCAAGTATTTTAAAGCAAGTTCATAGATCCTGGATCAAGAACCCTTGGACTAGACTATTGCCAAAGTACAATCCAGCTCACAAGAGCAGGACCTATAGCAGGAGCTGTTGGGATGAGAAGGATAGATTATAAATTGAAGAGGAGAGAAGATTCTGTGAATATTGTCAGAAAGAGGTCCTGATAGAGCCCTATCCTAAAAAAAAAACTCTGAGTTTTGCAAAGGGGACCAGAGCGCAGGAAACTGAAATATTCTGACTCTGTGACCAGCCTTGAGCATCCTCAAAGCCACTTATTTCACTTTTCTTTTTCAAGAGTCTAGGAAAAACAGAAAAGCCTGGTTAGCACTGCTTGGGCTTCTTGGACTGGCAGTCCCCTGTTGGTATGTTTGGAAAAAGAAGAGACATGGTAGGTGTAAAGGCTAATAAAATGCATATTTCTTCCTTTACTATCCTGTGCCTATTTATCTTGAAAGTGTGAAGTAACTTTGAAGCAACTTAACACTTTAGAATTATTCTCCCCTCCCACATTCTTTACTTTCTCCTTGCCTTATATTGGGGAGGTGGGGGGAAAGGTATGGAGGCAAGAGTTGAAATTTTCTGCAATTTCCTCACGACAGTGCCAGATTCTGATCTATCCCCTACCTCTGTATTCTTATCACTACCCTGTTCTGAGAAGACCAGGTCTTCTACTTCTTCCTGGGTCCTATATCTCTCCCTATATCCCCCTCTCTTTTTATAATCCCTTGCTTGTCTACTTCACTATTAGAAAACTCTGAAGAGTGAAGGGAAAACCTCTCTCTCTTTATAATTCTTTTGGTTAAATATCAACTTTCTTTTTCCCAGGTCAGTACCTAGATTGTTGCTCTACCCAAACCCAGAGCCAGACTCCTGAACAGTTATCAGGTAATGACAGTAATTGGAAGGGCCATGTGGTTGCTGCACCAGGGAGAGGTTTGCAAGATGTAGAATAGGAGGAACAAACATTTACTAAGCACCTGTGTGTTAGGCACAAATAATATCTCATTTAATCCTCACAACAACCCTAGAGGTAGGTGATATCATCATCATCATCATCATCATCATCATATCATCATCATCATCACCATCATCATTATTTTATGGAATAGGAAACCAAGACAAACAGAGGATAAGTGACTTACCTAGGATCACAAAGGTAGCAAATGTCTGAGTGTAGATTTGAACTCAAATCTTCCTGCCTCCAAGTTCAGGTCTCTATCTATTATTGTACAACCTAGCTGCCGGGGGGGGGGTGTTGGATCTTATAGGGAAAGGTTATTTGGAATCTTAAGGCTATGATATGGCTAGGTATCATACGATGTGAATGATAACATGGGAGAGAATTGTGACTTGAGCATATCTGTTCCCTGAAGGGTCTCTAGAGTGCCCCCTCACAGGACTACCTACTGGTCCCTCACAATTTCCTTTACTGGAAAACAACAAATATTCACTAAGCTCTTACTATGTACAATTCATTGTGCTAAGTGTTAGGGATTTAAAAACAGAAAATAAGCAGTTTCTTATATCAAGATATTTACATTCCACTGAAGAGCTACAACATATAAACAATTACAAAATCATTTGAAGAGGGAGGGAAAAAATAATTGGAAAGATCAAATCCATAGACAAATTTGGGTGGTTCCATGAACTTGGATGGGAAAACAATGGCATCTTTATTTCAATATAATTGGTTTCCTTTGTGATACTGTAAGTTTTATTTCACGCATTTAAAAACATTAATCTGAGGACTAGTCCATAGGCTTCACCAGACTTTCAAAAGGGGTCCATGACACACAGAAAGTGATTAATAACCCTTGAGAGAAATAAAGCAGGCTCCTTGGGTGTGGGACTTGGAAACTGCTGGACAGCTCCCTGGAGCTAAGGCTTAAAGGAAGATGCTGAGATGGGCTGGCAAATGTTTAATAATTGCTGGGGGAACATCCTTCACAGCACACTTTTAAGTTTCATCTGAATTACTAATGTTTTCTCTGTCACTTTATTAAGTCAAGACAACTAAAAAATAAACCAAGACCGTGATTCGTAGCATTTGCAAATTTCCAAGGTGTGACTGTTCATACTGAAAATTTAATAATTGGCTTTTCCTGGACCAATCTGAGCAGGCTCTGGTATATCACAGAAGGTAGGGAGTGATCCCAAGAGGTAGAAATGAGAAGGGGTTGAATTCTAAACATAGGGCACAGCTTGAAGAACAAATGGAGATCAGAGGGGGGATGTTAAGTTTAGCAAAACAGAACATAATCCAGTTTGACTGGAATGGAGACTGCATTAAGCATAGTAATGTGGTGAATGAAAACCTGAGAGACAGTTTCTGAGTAATTAATAATCAATTTATTAATTAGGCTAGCTGTCAATCAATAAATTGATGGTTAGTGGTTTTTCTTGGTAACCAAAGACAAACCCATAGAGACAATGAATGCCTTAAATGCCTTTGTAAAAGAGAATGCCCCTGACAAGTGAAAATCAACCCTCACTGGTGAACATTTAAGGAAGAAGCCTAGGAGTCTTCGCCTCCTCCTGCTGAGAATGTGTCTTGATCATGACATTTGACTGCCTCCAGCCATCTGGACAGGAGAATTCATCTCCATCCAGATCATTCTGGCTGGTTTTCTCCTTCATGAGTTACCCTAAACTCTAATGGAGGGGTACAAAGACAGGGGCTCATTTCCCCAGGGTAAGAATTTGCCCAGACTAGATTCTGTTTAAACTCTAAATGGAAGCTATGTCTCCTAGTTGTGAAGGGTCCCACCCAAGATTGAGGAGGATGTTCCTTGAGGGCTAAGACAATGTCATCATCAATCATGTCCTTCAGAGACTAGCTTTTTACAGGGGCTGGGCCTTAAATAGGAAATAAAGGAGAAAAGCCTGGATCCTATTTTTTAAAATTTTATTTTTTGCCATTTAATAGTATTTTATTTTTTCCAATTACATGTAAAAATAGTTTTCAACATTCACTTTTACAAGATTTTCAGTTCCATATTTTTTTCTCCCCCCATCCTCCCCCTCCCCAAGATGGCATGCAATATGATACAGGCTATATATGTTCAATCATATTAAATATATTTCCACATTAGATATGGTGTGAAAGAAGAATCAGAACAAAAGGGAAAAACCACAAGAAAAGAAAAAAAAGAGAAAATAGTATGTTTCTATCTTCATTCAGACTCCATAGTTCTTTCTCTGGATGTGGATAGCATTTTCCATCATGAGTCTTTTGGAATTGTCTTAGAACACTGCATTACTGAGAGGAGCTAAGTCTTTCAAAGTTGGTCATCACATAATGTTGCTGTTGCTGTGTGCAGTGTTCTCCTGGTTCTGCTCACTTCACTCAGCATCAGTTCATGTAAGTCGTTCCAGGCTTTTCTGAAATTCACATGCTCATCATTTCTTCTTTTTTTTAATATTTAGGCAATTGGGATTAAGTGACTTGCCCAGGGCACACAGCTAGTAAGTGTTAATTGTTTGGTCTGAGGCCAGATTTGAACTCAGGTCCTCCTGACTCCAGGGCAGGTGCTCTATCCACTGTGCCACCTAGCTGCCCCCATCATTTCTTATAGAACAATAGTATCCCATTACATTCGTATACTACAACTTGTTTAACCATTTCCCATTTATGGCCATCCCCTCAATTTCAATTCTTTCCAACACAAAAAGAACCGCTATAAATATTTTTGTACGTGTAGGTCCTTTCCCCCCCTACTTTTTTTTTTATGATCGCTTTGGGATGCAGACCTAGTAGTGGCATTGCTGGATCAAAGGGTATGCACTTTTATAGCCCTTTGGGCATAGTTCCAAGTTGCTCTCCAGAATGGTTGGATCAGTTCACAACTCCACAACAATGCACTAGTGTTCCAATTTTCCCACATCTTTTCCAACATTTATCATTTTCCTTTTTTGTCATGCTAGCCAATCTGACAGGTGTGAGGTGGTACCTCTGAGTTGTTTTAATTTGCATGACACACACCAAAAAGTGAAGAATCCACAGGATAAAGTAAGCTCCTCTGGTGTAAGACTCAGAAATTGCTGGACAGCTTCAAAGCAACAGAATCAACAATATCAGCCTATGACAAGGAATCCCATATCCTGGTGTTACTCAGGGAGGACAGGAACACAGTGGAAAGAACAAGGCTATCCCCACTTGCCTCTCAGCACTCTGGTTTAGACTGAGATCCTCATCAGAAACCCTTAAGCTTAACAGGATGTCACTGATATCCATAAATAGAAGAGACATAGTCCCTAGAGGAGATGGTATTCTAGAGGTCTGAATATCCACATCAAAAGCAGGGGGTGGGGGGAGAACAATATCCTTCAAAACCAAAATCATTTTATTTTCCCCCAAACCAGCTGTTCTTTCTCACTTCCCTCATTGTGTTAACAGAATCATTATCTCCCAGGCTTAAAATCTGAGGGTCATCTTTGATTCCTCCCTGTCCCTTGTACCCCACACCCAATAAGTCATAAGTCCTGTTGATTCTACTTCCTCCATATCTCTTTTATCCATTGCTTCCCTTCAGTTCTTGCAGATATATCACTACCTCCTTTGGACTATTGCAATGCTCTCCTAACCAGCTTCCCCACTTCCAATCTTGCTCTGCTCAGAGTAATCTTCCTAAAGCAAAAATCAGTTCAATTCAGTCCCCTATTTAAACACCCTCCACGGACATTTTGTAAATCACAAAGACTTTATAAATGAGAACTATTTTGCTGCTGATTCTGCTGTGAAGAGACAGCTTATTAAGACAGAGAGCTGGCCTTGAAACCAAGAAAATTTGGATTCAAGTCCCATCGATGATATGTAACTGACTGTGTGACTCTGGGAAAGTCACTTAATCTCTCAATACTCTAGTTAACTCTCTAATGCTTTTTATATGTTGCAGAGAAGGTGCCCATTTGCATCAGCAGAGAGGGTTTTCTCACCTGAGAGTTCCCCATAGAAATGTAATTACAAATCCAGTTCCTATCCTTATTATTATTAATTATGAGCCTTCTGCTTACCAAATAAAGTCCAAATTCCTTAGTTTGGCATTCAATGCCCTTTCCCATCTATCTCCTACTTACCTGTCTAATCACTGCTCTCCTATCCTCATCTTTGCTCTAAACACAACAGCTGCCTCATGGTTTCTTAAACATATCCCCTACATTTCAGCTTATGCTCATGTACTTAACAATACCCAGAATGCTCTTCCCTCCTTTTCTACCTTTAGAATCCTCCTCAACCTATAGCTAACAGCCTGAAAATTACCTCCTTCATGAAACCTTCCCTGAAGCCCTATACTTCCCAGGCTCTCCTAGCCACAAGTAACCTCTTCTCTGTGGAACTTTTTTTTTAACAAATTTATTTGTTTCTAAGATTCATTTTTTAAAATTTTGAGTTCCAAATTCTCTCCCTCTCTCCAGCTCTTCCTCCACCCATTGAGAAGGCAAGCAATATGATGTCACTTGTACAAGTGAAGTCACGTAAAACATATTTCCATACATTCTAAAATGTAGTAGCCATGTTGCAAAAATAGGCAAGAAACATCAAGAAAGCAAAATAAGTGTGCTTCAATATACACTTAGAGGTCATTGATTTCTCTCTCTCTTTGGAGGTGGATGGTATTTTTCAGCATGGGTCTTTTAGAATTGTCTTGGTTCATTATCTTGATCAGAGTAACTAAGTCTTTCACAATTGATCATGATTACAATATTGCTATGTGTGGACAATGGTCTCCTGATTCTGTTCCTTTCTCTTTCTGTCAGTTCATATGTCTTTCTAGGTTTTTTTCTGAAACCATCCTGCTCATCATATTTTAAAGCACAATAGTGTTCTATCACAATTATATACCAGAACTTGTTCAACTATTCCCCAATTGATGGGTATCCCTTGAATTTCCACTTTTTTGCCACCATGAGATATATGTGTATAAATATATATATATATATATATATATATATATATATATATATATATATATATATATATGTCCTTTTCCCTTGTCTTTGATTTCTACAGATCTAGTAGTGGCATTGTGGGGCCAAAGGATATGTAAGGTTGATATCTCCAGAATGGTTGGACCAGTTCAAAACTTCACCAATAGTGCATTAGTGTACTTATTTTTCCACATCCCCTCCAGTAGTTATCATTTCCCCTTTTCTATCATGTTAGCCAATCTGAAAGGTATAAGGTGGTGCTGGGTCATCCCCAGTGATCTTGATCTATATCTTGCCACTGAACTCAGAGGGCTCAGGAGGAGAGAGTGAGGCTGATGACTTTGCACAGTTCTCCCTCACTTAAATCTAAGTCACTTGCAAGTCATGACATCACCTTCTTGATGTCGTGGTCCTCTTCAAGAACAAAGGACAAACAATGAACAAAAGTGTTACCTCAGAGTTGTTTTAATTTGCATTTCTCCAATCAATAGTGATTTAGCGTATTTTTTCACGTGATTTCTTCTAAAACCTGGGAAATATCCTTTGACCGTTTATTAATTGAGGAACGGTTCTTATTTTTATAAATTTGACCCAGTTCCCTATATATTTAAGAAATGAAGCCTTTATCAGAAAAAGTTAATGTAACATTCCCCCCCCCCCAAGTTTCCTGCTTTTCTTCTAATTTTTGCATTGGTTTTGTTTGTGCAAAATCTTTTTCACTTCATGTACTCAAAATTATCCATTTTATTTCTCATGAACCTTTCTACCTCTGGTACGGTTATAAACTCTTCCCTTACCCAAAAATCTGGCAGGTAACATTTTTCCTGGGTCCCTTATTTTATTTATGATATCACCCTTTATGTCTAAATCATTTACCCATTTTGATCTTATTTTGGTATATGGTATGAAATGTTGGTCTATGTCTAGTTTCTGCCATTTGCTATCCAGTTTTCCCAGCAATTTTTGTTACATAGTGAGTTCTTGCCCCCAAAGCTTGGATCTTGGGGTTTATCAAACACTAGATTACCATGGTCATTTACTACTGTGTATTGTGTGCCTAATCTATTCCACTGATCTACCACTCTATTTCTTAGCCAGTACAACACTGTTTTGATGATTACCACTTTGCAGTATAGTTTGAAATCTGGTACTGCTAGGTCACCTTCTTTCACATTTCTTTTTCATTGATTCCCTTGATATTCTTGACCTTTTGTTTTTCTAGATGTCTGTGGAATTTTTTATATCACTTTTACCTCCTATAGGGCATTTCTCACATCCTGCTTTGTATTATAGTTTGTTACATAGCTATATATGATGAAATTATGGATTCCTGAGTGTTGAAATATGTGCATGTCTATATGCTTTAAGTTCCTGGAGAGGCCAAATTTTATCAATCTTTGTATCTCCCTCATCGGTCCAACACAGTGCCTTTAACACTATATGTGCTTCTTCTAGGGCTATATCCCAAAGAGATCATAAAAATGGGAAAAGGACCCATGTGTACAAAAACATTTATAGCAGCTCTTTCTGTGGTGGCAAAGAATTGGAAACTGAGGGGATGACCACCAACTGGGGAATGGCTGAACACGTTGTGGTATATGAATGTGATGGAATACTATTATGCTATAAGAAACTATGAGCAGGTGGACTTCAGAAAAACTTGGAAAGACTTGTATGGACTGATGTTGAGTGAAGTGAACAGAGCCAGCAGAGTATCATACACAGTGACAGCCACGTTGTGGGATAACTAACTTTGATAAACTTAGCCCTTCTCAGCAATGCAAGGATCTCCAAAAGTCTCCGAATGGAAAACACTATCCATTTCCAAAGAAAGAGCTATGGAGTTTGAATGCAGATTGAAATATACTATTTGCTCTTTTTTTCCTTCTGTTTTCTTTTGTTTCTTCTTTCTTGTGGTTCCTCCTATTGGCTCTAATTCTTCCTTACAACATGATTAATGTGAAAATATGTTTAATAGGAATATGTATGTAGAGCCTATATCAGATTGCACGCTGTCTTGGGAAAGGAGGGGGAGAAAAATTTAAAACTCAAAAGCATATGGAAGTGATTGTTGAAAACTAAAAATAAATTAATAAAATATAAAAAAAATTATATGTGCTCTATCAATGTTTGCTAAATAAAAGAAAGTATGTATTCCTGCCTGAATGAAACACCCTAGCCTAATCACAGCCAAACCCTCCAGCTCTCTAGGCTTCAGCTGAGCAAAGAGCTAGCCTGGGTATTTACAGCAGAGAGGGAACGAAGATATAAATACTTTTCTGAGCTCAGGCAGTTTGTCACGGAAACTGCTGAAGGACAGAATGTATTCACAATAGTGATGCCAGGCAGTGCAATAGATAGAGCAGTGGGCCTGGAGTCAGGAAGATCTGAGTTCAGATCTGGCCTCAGGCACTTATTAGGTATATCATCCTAGCAAAGTCACAACCTCAGTTTCCTCAACTGTAAAATAGAACTAATAAGAACACCTACCTCCCACTGAGATAATATTTGTAAAACTCTTAGCATAATGCCTGGCACATTGTTGTTGTCCAATCACTTCAGTCATGTCTCATTCTTTGTGACCCCATTTGGGGTTTTCCTGCCAAAAATACTGGAGTAGTTTCCTGTTTCCTTCTTTAGCTTATTTTATGGATGAGGAACTGAGGCAAACAAGGTTAAGCGACTTGCCCAGAGTCACACAGCTAGCGAGTGTCTGAGGTCAGGCTGAACTCAGGAAGATGTCTTCCTGACTTCGAACCTGGCACTCTCTCCACTGGGCCACCTAGATACCTGACCTGGAATGTAGTAGGTAGGCACTTAGTAAATGCTTGTTTCTTTCCTTACTTCCATGGTCACTAAAGAGTACAAGAAGTTGGAGCCTGTCCTTGAAGGGAGTTCTAGGAGAGAAGGTAGCCTGGACAGTGATACAACCTCAGAAGATGACATGATACTCAAGCCTATTTGTGAAAGTACTGTGAAACATGACCCTATCAGAGATGAAGATGATGTGTATGACTCTGTCTGTGATGAGGAAGAAATATATGACCCTGTTACTCCAGAGGAAATGTTGTATGTCCTAGTCAATGAGGTGAGTCATTATCATCTTTCTCCCACTCCCAGGATCTGTGTCTTACCTTACATCAGTATTCATACTGGCCCACAATAGAGTAGAATGGGTAAAGATCAGAGAGGCTTGGGCTCAATCAATCATTCAATCAACAACTTTTATTAAACTCTTTCTATCTTCCAGGCATTGTCTGGGTACTGAAGACAGAAAGATAAAAACAAAATAATCTTTGCCCTCAAGGAGCTTACATTCTTTTAGGGGAAATATTATGTACACATTTAAATAAATACAAAACATATGCAAGGTAAATACAAGGTAGCTTCATGGTAGAGGGAGCTGGCATGGGCAGCTGGGGAGATCAAGACAGGCTTCCTGGAAGAAGTGATCCTTGAGCTGAACTTGGAAGGAGGCTAACTAGTGATTCTATTAGGAGAGAGTACATGACAGTCATGGGGAACAGCCTGTACAAATGTTTAGAGATGAAGTTGAGTATCTTCCCTTCTCCAAAAAATCAGAATGTCATTTGGAAACCTGTGGACAACCATACCTCTGTGGGCATACATTCACAGTTCTAGTGGGAACAATGAGGAAGCTTCCAGGAGCTATCTGCAAGCCTGGTGGACAGATTCATTCCTGGTGCATTGACATAAGGAGACAGTGTTGGATCTCTGTTTTGGTAGCTGCAACTAAGCTAGATGTTGGTATTTTATAGGGAGAGACCCCAAATCCTCAGAAGCACAAGAGTCCAGATACAATTTACTGCCTGGTGAAGAAACCCCAAACGGTGAGACATTTTATATCTTCATGCTAATTTATGAATAACTGATCACTTCATAGGCCTTACTAACTGGAGATTTCAGACTTTTCAAAGCTGCCCTACAGTGACCAATGTACCCTAGAAGGACAGCCCTGCTTTATATCTGGTATTGGTAAAGGCAGAAATTGACAGAATTATCTATTTTTCTCACAAAATTTAGAAAAGGAGGCCAAAGACCAGGGTGCACTGGTAAATGTTTAACAGCAGGGCAGAAAAACATAAGTTTAATCTACATTATTAACACCTTCTTAAGTCTAGACAATCAACGAAACAATAAGTCAAGCCCTTATTGTAGTGATTTCTGAGATGTAAGTGCTTGTAATAAAAATTGAGCAATTAGGATGCCACAAACTCATTAGAGCTGCCTCTGGCACACCTCTGCTAAGGGTTAAACCTCTGTGTCCAAAAATCTGTGCCTAAATCTAATTCTAGTCCTAATCCTAACCCATCGGGATATTGATTTATCAAACAGATACAGCACATTAGCCAATAAACACTGCTGATATCCAAATTAATTAGCTGGCTAATTTGGACATTGATAATAAATCTTAGCTCTAGCATGACTGGGATATATGTTTAAGAGAGACTTCAGTGAAAGATTACATATAAAAGAGGCTTCATCTTCTATCAAATTTCAATGTCCAGCACTGTTTTTATATCACCTTCCCTCCAAAGAACAATCCAAGTAAATAATCCTAAATAGAGGTATGAGGAACACCCCTTTAACTCACTAGCTTCAACCTGACCTCAAACCAGCTATTTGTTCACTTTGCTCCTGTTTTCCTAGGGCCTCCCTGGACTCCCTATTTTCTATTTCTCCAAGATTGCCTCCCCCTCCCCCTGACCTCAGTTATATGTTCAGACAGGAGAAGAAAGCTTCTCCAGGTTTTTATCTTCTCCTGTTTATTGCATTAACCCCCTTCCCTATGGCTATGTCCCTGAGGTACAAGATAGAAGCAAGACAATCATAAGACACTATCCCTGCTCAAAAAGAATTTACAATCTTACTATGGAGAAAAGACTTGGACGTGTGAAATTAAAAGATGATTCATGACAGGCCGCCACAAAGTATTAAAGTGTGATGGTCCAAGTACTACAGGAATTAACGGGAAACAGAGCAATGTAGATTAATCTACAATGTTAGCGCCAAAGGGAATACAAGGAAAGAGAGAGGATTATGGGTTTGTCAGAGCTGGAAGGCACCTTAGAAATCACCTAACTTGACCTTTTCATTTTGGATTTGAAGGCCACAGAGATTTGTCCAATTATACTGCAAGCTGATAGTGGAGCCTGGGTTTGAATAAACACCTTTTTTTCTTTTCCATACTTTGGTGTTCTTTTCACATTATCAAGTAACCAGAGAATGCTCCACAGAAGAGAAAAGACTTGTCTGAGGCTTTGAAACAGGGAAAGCATTTGGATAATGGAAGAAAGTTAGAAAACCAAGAAGCAAAGTAGGAACCAAAACAGGGCAAATAGAACTGGGTCCTGATGACCTTTTCAAGGGAAGAGGAGAAACACTGCTTCCCATCTCCTATCCCCTTCCAGTACCAGTCACATGACTGGCCTCTTCCCTTACACAGCTCTATGCTGCCAACCCCACTCCCCAGGCTCCCATAGCTATCATGTCCTTCTCCAAAGCACAGTAGTCTCTTCTCCCTGCTGCACCCTCAGTAGTCCCAGTATCAGTTGATGGCATCAGTTAAATCCCCCACCCATGAGCTTCTCTACTCAGCCTTAGCTCTTTTCTGGTCACTATTACCCCCGACCATTTTTTCCATTTCACCTTCTAAGAACCTTTTTCTTATGATTTGATGGAAAGCTTGCTGGATTGAGAATGCAAAGATCTGACTTCAGATCCAGGCTGTCAATGCATGACACCTTGAACAAGTCACTTAACCTCTCTGGACTTGCATCTTAGTTATCTTCTACCCCCACACTTGTGCAAAGATAATGGAGAGGCAGAACCCATCTTACCTTGGACCTTAAATCCAGAACTCTACTTAAGTTACCAGATGGTGACTATTCACTCACTAGTACATATTGGTACTTAACTAGAAGCAACAAACCAGTCTGAGTTGCCCTTAGCTCCCAGCTTTCTACTGCATTTAGAAATCAACCCAGGTTCTATCTCATCTCCTTTAGACTAGGGAGCAAAAAATGAAGTTATCATAATCTTTCTGATTTGTGCTCCATTCCCAAGACAAGTCTTTTCTGTGAAGCATTCCCATTCCCAGATTGTAATCTCTTTCTTCACTTCACAGAACATAAAAAGATTCATCCACTCATATTATAGATTAGAGCACTTTTATTGAATGGAATTAAAGGTAAATGGTATGACATTAAAACTCCCAAATGATGAGCCATGTCACTCCAGAAACTTCTGAAGTCTCCACTCCCTTCCCTGCCCCTAATTAACTGCAACCCTTCCCCCAGTTAAAATCTAAGTGACATAAGCATCACTTATGCCAAGAGAATAGCCCAGCACAAAGGCCATTTGCAGTGGGGAGTAATCAAGTATCACTCCAATATCAAAGTTTTTGAAGTAGAAAAGAAACAATTTCTTCATGGCAGATGATGATCTCCACACCAGCTATTATAAAAATAGAATTTACTTCCTGGCCAGTCACCAAACAAAACTAGAAACCTGATGATCAGAAGAAGTGATCTTCCTAGTCCCTTTAAAATTCAACCCAGGTTCTACCTCATCTCCTTTAATCTAGAGAGCAAAAATTGAAGATTACCATAATCTCTTTGTTAGAATTAGATCCACTTCACAGGACTTAATAAAATTCATCCATTAATATTATAGATCAGAGCATTTTCATTGAATGAAATTAAAAATAAGTGGTATGACATTAAAATTCCCACATGACTAAGCTCAGGTACTCCAGGAAAATTCTAAAATCTCTACCCACGATCAACTGCACCCACTCCTATTAAATCTAAGTACTAATTCATTTGTGGCAAGAGAACAGCCCAGCCCAAAGGCTATTTGCAGTAAAGAGTTATCAAGCATTCCCGCAATTTCAAAGTTATACTACTAGAAAGGGAACCATTTCTTCATTGGTGATCACCACATCAATTCTTACAGAAATAAAATTTACTTCCTGGCTAGTAACCAAACAAAACCTGGAATCTAGTGGTCATGAGAGGCTCTCTCAGATCTTTCTGACTTCCCTCTGTGCTGCCCCTGGATCTAGGAAACCACAAACTCGTAGTGCAAGCTCATTTTATACGCCCTTTCTCTTGTGTAGTGTTGTATGCCTCTGTGTGTCCACTTCTGGGCTTCCCTCTTATCATGTATTTCCCATAAATCAAATGACTGTCTTTGTTTTTAAAGTCCCACTATAGCATGGTGTATTACTTTTTGAAACTCCATTTAGGTTAAACATCTTTGTGTAATGTATAACTTATATCAGATTGCTTGCCATCTTGGAGGGAGAAAAGAAGGAAGAAAAATTTGGAACTGAAAATCTTGTTTAAAAAATGAATGTTAGGGGGCAGCTAGGTGGCACAGTGGATAGAGCACCGGCCCTGGATGCAGAAGGACCTGAGTTCAAATCCGGCCTCAGACATGTAACACTTACTAGCTGTGTGACCCTGGGCAAGTCACTTAACCCCCATTGCCCAACCAAAAAAAACCACAGAAACAAAAAATGAATGTTGAAAACTATCTTTACATGTAGTTGGAAAAAAATAAAATACTAAAGGACAACAAGATGGTGCAGTGGATAGAGCTCTGTCTTTGGAATCAGGAAGACCTGAGTTCAAATACACCCTCAGACACTTGACACTTACTAGCTGTGTGACCCTGGACAAGTCACTTAAAGCTGATTGCCTCACCAAAATAAATAAAATAAAATAAAATAAAATACTATTAAAAAATAAAAATAAAAAATAAAATCTTTGTGTGAAACCTTCCAAATAGGTGAGATCACTAAAAAGTGACACTGAGTCTCCAGAGGCCTCTCTCTATGAAAATTTCACCTCAACAGGAGAGTCACTGCCTACCCCATCTTCTGACTGTGGATAACAAAGAGAAAGCAGGGCCTTATTGGAATATGGATGATTCGAGGATGAATATCTCTGCACATGGGAAGATTCTGGCATTTCCCTACATTACTCTACACATATTCTGAGTTCTCTCACTTTTGCTCTCAGAGCAAACAGTGTCTGGGCCAAGATACTGGTCTGAAGGGTAGACAGAGAGACTCAGGTTCTTTTTAATTGATCCCTTAGAATTTTCTCTAATGACAGGCTGGGATTGTGAATTTTATCTCCACAGTAAGATGTTCCCCATGCCTGGAATCTCTTCTTTCCTCTACCTTCTTGTTTTCTCTTTTCCTTCAGACAATTCTGATTCTCCTTTCTGCAATAGGCCTTTCCCAACACTCCCCATCCCTTTCTTCTGAAATAAACTATAAATTACTCTCTGTCTCTCTCTCTCTATATATATATATAGATAGATAGATAGATAGATAGTACATATACACATAGATAGATATATCTATATATTTATAAGCATGTCTATATAGAGAAATATATCTTGTTTGTACATACTTATTTGCGTGTCATCTCTCCCATTAGAATGTGAGCCCCTGTTTTTTTTTCTTTGTATCCATAAACTAGCACAATGCCTTGCACATAGTAAGCCCTTAATAAAGTTTTTCTTGTAAACTGACTGATTGATATCTATCTTTTCCTGTGTCCCAGTCGGAGCTGTCCATTGCACACTCATGCCATGAACCATTGCATTCCAGGAAATGCACATCTAGATCAATCACAGATGTTTATGAGAAGTAAAACTAGTTCAGCAAAACATAATTTATAGTAAAATAAAGAAATATTCCATTCCTTTTAGTAGGAGAGGAATAAGAATAATTCAATTTTGATCTACTACCATCAATCAGAGTAGTCTGTTCACCTATGACTATGTCCTTTCCCTTGCCTTCCTTTTCCCATAGCCTGGCAAGAGAAACTGCATCTCAGAAACTGCTGATGCTAATTGTTATTAATCTGCCATGCTATGGTTCCCCAGGTCTGCTCTGCACAACCACCTCAGTCACAGGCCAGAATCTCTCTTCCCTATTTGCTTCACAAGGAACTTCTTGGCTAGCAAGATGAAGCAAAACTATAAAATCCAGCTTGCTTAAAGAGGTACCCAGAACAGACCATTTTCTTGCAGGTATCCATTAAACAATTGTTACATTTAACTTTCTTGGGCCTTGGTTTGCTTATCTGTAAAATGAGGAATTTGGACTAAGTAATCTCTAAGCTTCCTTTGAGCTCTAAATCCTATTAACCTATCATGAAAAGTCTAAATAAACTAAAACCCAAGAAAATTGAAAACAGATTCTAAGTTGATGTGTTAACAAAAAAAAAGATACTGTTGACCCAGCATCACTATGCCACGTGTTTTTCTATTCCCAGTAGTACTGATGACTTGGCATTGAGCCATCTAAACTCCCCCTTCCCTGGTTCTCCTTGTGACTGGGTGACATAGTTTGAAGGTAGAATAGTTTTTTATCTATGTATGAACAAATGCAAGACCTTGACTGCATTAGAAAAATGTTTGACCAAACCTGGAAAAACTTACATGAACTGACGCAAAGTGAAATTAGCAGATTCAGGAGAACACTATACACAGTAACAGCAATACTGTATGATGGTTTACTATGAGTGACTTAGCTATTTTCAACAATACAATGATCTAAGACAATTCCAAAGGACTAATGATGAAAAATGCTATCCACCTCCAGAGAAAGAATTTACTGGAGTCTGAATGCAGATCAAAGCATACTTTTTTATAACTTTCTTTATTTTTCTTATTTTTTGTTTGGGTGTTTTTTTTGGTCTGCATTTTCTTTCACAACATTACTAAATGGGAGTGTTTTGCATGACTGCATATGTATAACCCGTGTCAAATTACTTACCTTCTCAATGAGAAGGGAGCAGAGGATAGAATTTGGAACTCAAAAATTTTTAAGTCAAATATTAAAAAAAAATTTAGGTGTAATTAAGACAAATAAAATATTGTTTTTAAAAAAGAAAAAGAAAAATGCTTTAGCATGGAACTGACCTGTCAATCTTATTCGTTGCTTTGAAGTACACATTACACACACACACATATACACACAGGCTATTTCCTCAATTTTAAAGACATTTTTGCAAACAGAGAAGAGGACTCATTAATTGAATACATTTCCCCCTTCCTACTGCATATAGTAGATTTGGAGTCAGAGGAGACCTGGGTTCAAATCCCACTGGATTTGGGGGAAAATGAGTTTCAAATTCAATAGCTGCTACTTACTGTCTACAAGAACTCGGACAATTCTCTAATCTCATTGGACCTCATATATCATTTGTAAAACAAAGGAGGTTATACCAAATAAGCTTTAAATTCCTTTTCCAATCTAAATCAATGATTTTTGATCTATGAACTTAGCAGCGTGTGACTTTAGATAAATAAATTAACCTCTCTGGGTCCCAGTTTCCTCATCTTTAAGATGGAAATAATAATACTTGTCTAATCTACGTGAGATGGTTATTGTAAGGCTCAAATGAGATAGTGTAAAATGCTTCATAAACTGAAAAATCTATATAAATAACAGCTATCATAATTTTTTTAAGAACAACCTGTATAGGTGTAGTAGAGTTAATTATATTGGGAGCAGGGGAAATAGCAAATTGGTCTCTCCTCCAAACTCCAGTCCAGTATCTCCAACTATCTATTGGACATTTCAAATTAGATATCTCATAGGTGTCATGAGCTCAATATATTCTAGAGACAACATTTTCTTTTCCTCAAACCATCCCCTCTTTTCAACTTCCCTATTACTACTTTTTTGGAGGCAATCAGGGTTAAGTGACTTGTCCAAGGTCACCCAGCTAGTAAGTGTCTGAGGCTGAATTTGAACTCAGGTCCTCTTGACTCCAGGGCTAGTGCTCTATCCATTATGCCACCTAGCTGCCCCTTCCCTTTTACTGTTAAAGGCACTACCACCAAGTATAGGTCTAACCATGCCACCTCCATATCTAATTAACTTCAATGGTTTCCTATTACCTCCAGGATCAAATATAAAATCTTCTTTGGGGAATTTTTAAGGGAATTTCACATGCTGGCTTCTTCCTTCCTTTCTAGTCTTGTCATACTATACTCCCTTTCATGCATTCTATGGTCCAAAAATGCCAGCCTACTTGCTAACACTTCATCTCCTGCCTCCATGTCCCTGCAGTGACAATCCTGCAGGCCTAGAATATTCAATCTTGCCTCTTGATGTCCCTTACTTCTTTCAATGCTAAGCTCAAATGCTACCTCCTGCAGTCAGCCTTCCCTATACTAGCCTACCCCCAACCATTTCAGAGTTTCCCTCTAAGGTGATGTTCTTTTTGTTCCATGGTTCTGAACCTGGCGTCTGTGAACTTGGCTTTAAAAAAAAAAGTGTTGCTAACTGTACTTCAACACAATTGGTTTCCTTTGTAATCTATTTTATTTTATGCATTTAAAAACATGAAAAAGGGTTCATAGGCTTCACCAGCCTGCCAAAGGGGCTCATGACATAAAAAATGTTAAGAACTCCATTTTCTTCTGCATCTATTTTGTCTAACCTTATAAAAGAATCAGAGTAAAAAATATCAATGAGGAAATGTATGTCCCTATTTATTTATATTTTTTCACACATTAATATATAAACTCCTTGAGGGCAGAAACTAATTTTGTGTTTGTACTCAGCATTTAGCAGTGTCTGATATGTAATAAGTGCTTAATACATACTTGTAGATTCATTAGAATCTAAGAAAATGAACATCTTTATATTCAATGATTTGCCATGCGACTTTCAGTAAAATTACCTGTCTATGCCTTAGTATTTCTACCTGTGAGGCAGAGAACAGTGCCTGCCATCACTTTCTCCCATGATGAATGTTAGCAATAACCTTCCAGAACAATCATAAAGTCTAGGTAACATAAGCCTTGAATAAAGGCTAGAGCTATGCATGTTGGTGGGGGGAACTATCTCAAACTCTTTGGTGAATTATCTAGTGCTGGCAATTCTTTCAGCCCCCAAAGTGGACACAGGTACTTAAATCATATTTTTATTCCAGATACCACTGATCAAGGCTTGGAAGAGATATAGAATCATGAGATCTGACTCTGATAGTTGTTTGCTGTGTGACCATGGGCAAGTCATTTAGCCCCTTTGAGGCTTGGTTTGCTCATCTGTAAATATTCACAGAAACAAAGATCCATCTTCTTAAAAGCAACACTCATACTAATAATGTTGTTGTATGGCTCTAAGTCACAGAATGCTACAGCCCTTGAAGAATTAATAAATGATTATTGACCAGAGGGCAGTGGAGAAGTGCATGGTGTGTTTGACCAGGCTGCAACATAGAATAAAATACTGTATAAAAGAATTAGAATGAAAGACGTCAACGAGGAAGTTTATGATTGAAAAGGAACATGGGTTAGGCATATGGCAAAAGTGAGGGGATAATAGGGTTATAGTCTGGGTGCTCTATCTGTATTCTTGTGACGTGAGAAGAAATCTAGGAAGGCTTCCAGCATGTGAGATGAATCCTCTGATATTAACTTATGGGCTGACATGGAAAAGTACCATACAAGATAGGCAGCAAAAAGGAATAGTGATCCACATCACCGGAGAGAATGTCCACATCGATGAGATCTCAAATTGTTGGAATATTTGAGCAATCCTTGCACTCCTTTCATAATGTGGTTGTTGTGAAGAGAGAGCTTTGTAACCCTGCAAGAGCTATAAAAATCTGAGCTGTTCTTGTTAACAAATCTCCTAGCCCTCAAAATGCTTCAATAGTATGTTCATTTTGGACAGTAGCTCCCCTTACTAGGAATAGATGTGGAACACCTCCAGCTCCTTATAGGACAGTCGTTTGGGTCTCTGGACCTGAGGAAGAAGCAGTGGCATTCATTCAGTTCCTACCATCAGACCTACATCCTGGCCATGTCCAAGCTATCATACTCCTGCACTTCTGATTGGTGATACAGAACCTTCCATATAGGGCCTGATACCTGAACCTCCACACCAAGTCCTCCAGAATCCAGGCTTCAGTCCCTGGGAAAGTTAATCCATTCATCTTTGGATCTCTACCTCTCCCTTTTCCCCACATACACTTTCCACCTCCCCAGAACACTCCCCACTCCAGTCACCATTCCCTTTCTGCGTTGTTTTCCCATATTAGAATATAAGGTCTTTGAGGGCAGGACTGATGCTCTCTTGGTCTCTGTCTCTCTGTCTCTGTCTCCCTTCTCTAAATACATATGTGTGTGTGTGTGTGTACACATATATGTATGTATATACATACACATACACATATATGTATAAATGTATCGACGTGTATATATTCTGCATACATCAGAATATAGACAAATATACAGATAGGAATAGAGACATTTTATAGACAGAAATCTAGAAGTACATGTATATAGACAGATATATAGATATGTAGAAAAAAGCATATGCATATTTATTTATATATAATATGTACATATATTTGCAAACCCTGTGTTGAGCACAGTGCCTGGCATATAGTAAGTGCTACACAGTGGTGGTGGTGGTGGTGGTGGTAGTACAGTGGATGGAATGCTGAGCCTGGAGTCAGGAAGACCTGAGTTCAAATCCTACTTCAGACACTTACTAGCTGTGTGACCCTGGGCAAATCACTTAACCTTATTTGCCTCAATTTCTTCAGTTGTAAAAAGAGCTGAAGAAGGAAATGGCAAACCACTCCAGTATCTAAAGGCTAATATGAAGCTTTGAGTGCCTTATATCCAGGAAGCTGCTGTTCACTGATTCTATGCTTTTGGAGGAGAAGGGCTTCTTCATGGTCACCCCTTGGAGGAGCTAAGATCTCCATCCTTGGGCACAATTTCCCAATTCAAACAACAGTTTATGTGGGTCAGATTAGAGGCATAGCCCAGTACAGAATTCCAAAAGTCACTTCTGCCTGAGGGAAGGGAAAAAAGAAACAAGGCAGGAGATCTTGTTCACTAACAAAAGAATGAATGGGGGGAAAAAACCATTTATTTGCCAGGCACTGCTCCAGGGGCACATTGTTTTAATTATAGCCTTGGTAGCAATGACGATAATACCATAGTTTATCCTATGTGAGCCAGGTAGTCTCACCCAGCCTGCCTTGCAACCTGTGGCATGATTTTATAAGAAAATTGCCTTATGGTTAGGATTTACAGTCTCTATCCATCAATAGGGTTTACCAACTCCCTAATGAAAATCAAACCAGTGACCCTAGCCCTGTTAGCATCATAGTTTAACCCACTGAGCAAACCATGTGCTCTATTACACAAATCCCTATATGACGTTTTGAGTGTTAACCAAAAAGGCAAAATTAGCTCCTTAGGCACATTTGAACAGGGAATGGCCCATCTGTGGCCCAATAAATTCTGTCCTTTGAGGACTAAATCATCAGGCTGCTGTGGATTCAGGTCTCCTAGATCCTAACCAGTTCACTAATTGACCCTAAGGAAGCACTTATTTGCAGTATGCTTCAATCTTGTCCACTTGAAATGGGCTCTATGGACAGCTCCCTAGGCTGTATAGACAGTTAATCAGTGACATCTATGCTTTTTCTCAAGCTGAAGTGTACCAAAGAGAAGAGGTTTGCTGGATGTGGGGAGCCAATATATTCAGAAGGCAATTTTGTAGCTTACCTCTTGATAGATGGTAGCTGAGTGGGATGAGTTGGGGCTCACTTGCTTGGAAAAAGGCTGCTGAAAATCCAGAGGGAGAGAGAAGTCAGCCCAAAATTGAGAGATGTAGTTGCCACTGCTACTATAGGGTAGCGCTAAGTTATGATGAACTTGGACCCACCCAGAGGGAACAGATATTTCAAGAAGCATGAAAGGTCCCATAGTCTGCAGTCAGCTCCCCCAGCATCTTTTCCTTAGGGTATAAACAATATTGCTTTGTGATCTCCAGAGAGAGCAAGGAATACCATATAGCATCTCCTCTCTAGACATAGATCTGACTCCAGATAATGGTGAATGTATACATGAGGAAGGAAGTGGGCATCCCTCTTTCATTGCCCTAACCCCAGAGTCTGAGGCTCCTATATGTGGCTGGCTGCAGTCTTGAGGACATAGCTTGATCTTACCTTCCATCTCTTATCTCCCTCTGACAGCAATACACACTTAGACTAGTCCTTTTAAATATATCAGAACAATTGAACCACACATGAGGAGAAGAGAGGAGAGGACAACTGTGCGGAAACAGATAATTAGCAGCACAGAGACCACCCAGCTTTGTCCAGCATGAGACAAATCATATTGAGATTTCTCCTTCTGGACCAAACTTATCCATGTCTATGGTCTTTCTGCCTGATTCTCTGAGGATTTGAGTTTGGGTCACTTCTGCTGATCTCCTTGGTATCACCTTTGCCTACTATGTCTTTGATCTTATCCCTAGAGTCTACTCCCCGTCTAGGCAGGCTGAACTACACTAAGTCCCCCCTAGCTATCCACAAAAGAGTTATCTTCTGATGTCCCGGTTGTACTGAACTAAATATTCCCTCTCTTTCTCCGTATTTTCTCTCCCACTTGGGAGGATTCTGCTTTGATTTTCCCTGTCTTTCCTAGAGGAACTAAAAAGACCCCCATCTCTTGTTTACCCATCAATTCTAAACAATAGGTATTTAATATCAGAGTTCCAGCTATTTAACAGGTACACTCAGGACAGCATGGGCCAGAGCCACACCCATAGCCCCGAGCCAGGGGAGGACAATTCTCCACACCACATGTACACCCCACTCTTAAACACACAAACTCATACACATTCACATAAAGACAAGCATGCATTTATCTTCTGAATACCCACATATGGATATAGACATGCGCGCTCATACAAATATAAACATTTAAATGCTCATCTTGGAGGAGGAGACTTACATGCTTGCAGGATTGTACTGATGAATACACTGTTTTATCTTGACTAGCAGGACTGGAAGCAGGAAGCTAGTGGTAGGAAAAGATAAAGTCATTACAAATGAAATGGTGCTGACAATGATGTGGAAAGGCGATCTTTACCATACTCCGACTCAAGCAGATGAGAACCTTTTACCTTCCCTTGAATGATTAAGCACCTGCCCTGTGCAAGATTTTAGTAAAATGGTTACAGTGAGAGAGAGAAAGGGGGAGTCCAGGATGACAGAGAAAAACTTCACCAAAAGCATAAGCACTGGACTGAGAGTCAGATCTTCTAGTCCTAGCCCTACCACTTAGCTAAATAGCTTCCTCTCTCTGAACTTTGGTTTTCTCATCACTGAACATCTCTCAAGACTTTTTAACAGTGGGAAAATTCTATTCAGTTGCTATTGGAGAGAGATGACTTTCTCTCTTGCACCTTCCCAGACTATCCTGTTGTGAAATTCTTAAGTCAACAATTATGTTTGGGAGTTGTGAGCCATTTTCTCACAACAACCCTGCAAGATCAGTAGCAGAAACATCCTTATCTAAAAGATGAGGAAACAGGCACAGAAAGTTTAAGTGACACACCTAATTTAAGTCACACAACTAGCATTAGATCTGAGACTTGAACCCAAGCTTTCTGATTCTAAGCTCTTGCTACTACATCTCAGTGCCTTTAAAAAAAATAGTATACCAACATAGCTGGAGTCAAATAAGCTTGAGACCAATTAGACTTTCCAAGATTCTGTTCTTCCATCTGAGGTCTGGTCATTCCACACATATCATGTACAAGGGTGTTATGAGGCTCAAATGAGATAATAGATGTAAAGCATTTTGCAAACCTTAAAGTGATATGCAAATGCCAGTTATTGTTATTATTATTATTATTCGACTATAGTCACCAGGTATTATCTAGTGATGACTTCATTCCATGAGCCTTCTATTATACTCTTGATATTATTACACTGATTATTACTCCTGATATCTATTACACTATTGTATTTATAAAGCGATATGAGCATTTGCTGCTAAGTCAATCAGAGCTGTCTCCAGCACACCCCTAACTCATATAGACTCCTGTGGGACTTTCCTGAATTATCTGAGAAGTTGGAAATGTACCTGTTCTGGAAATTGGACCACAGAATATAAGGTGTTTCCTTCTTCTGTTTCACAATGATTCTGCGCCTATACGAGAAAAGGAAATAAGTAGAGCATCACAATCCATGCATTTCAAGCTCAATGTTATACTCAGTTCCTGACTCGCATAGCCAAACAGTTACCAAATATTGTCATTTCTACCTCTATAACATCTCTCCTCTATATCCCTTTCTCGCTACTCACAAATATCCCTAGCCTAGTTCAAGTTTTTATCTCCTCTTTCTTGGACTGTTATACTAACCCTTACAATGGCCTCCTAATTGATCTCCCTTTTAAACCTCTCCCCTATTCCAATTCACCCTCTGCACAGCTACCAAAGCTTGAGTCAGGCAGTGGCTTCCCTTTATCTCTACCATTAAATACAAACTACTGTGATGGGCATTTAAACACCTTCACAACCTACTGCCAACTTACTTTCCCTTCCTTATGACACATTACTCCTCTTCATGCACTCTTTGGTCCACTCAAAGTAACCTTTATACTGTTACTCATGCATGACACTCCATCTTCTATCTTCACGCCTTGGTACCGATGTACTGATTATTTTCTCACTACTGTTTCCTGGACTTTCTTTCAAGACTCATTTCAATCACCTCCATTTACATGAAGCCTTTCCTGATCCTCCCTTCCACCAGCTACTAATGCCTCCCTACCACTCCCCAAAAATGTTCTATTTATTTTATATATACCTCTATATGGCTTCCCATCTGTGAAATGAGGGGGCTGTACTAGATAGTATTTAAAGGTCACAGATGACTCTAACTATATCATATGACAATGGTGGTTTTTACTTGGGAGTTGAGAGCAGATGCTTGCTGACTTCCTGTGTAATCATAGCTCCAGCTGGTGGCAGCAAAGATACAATGCAAAGAAGGGAAAAGAGAAGGCAAACAACAAAAAAAAAACCAAACAAACAACTAATCAGCATTTTCAAATTCCAAATGTCAGAATCAGGGATATGACAGTTTGAGAAATAAGGAAAGAAGAGGAAGGCTCCCATTTTTCAGATAGTCCAAGGTCTAGTTAAGGGAATTTTCCCTCAGTTCTGATAAGCCATTCTCTGCTCCTATTTGAAATGGCCTTGTTCTCTCCTAGGCTCCTCAAAAGAGCCTTACCTAGAAGCACAGGAAAGAACAGACATTTGGTGCCATTGAGTGATTCCTGTTTGGGGCAATTCATACATTTAGTTCAGTGATACGGGCTCAAGTAGTGAAAAAAATAGGAACTGGAGTTTTCTCCTTCCAGGAGACCTTTTGCCCCCAGAGCAAAATGGCTGCCTAAGAAAATATCTCTTGTGTAAGGGATATAGTGATTGTATCTTGGAAAATATGTCACCCAAGTACCCATACATGATGGAAATTGCTTGGCTGAGTGGTTTTGCAGGAAACTCCCATATTGATTTAGAGCTAGACAAGATTTTGTGTTTATTTCACCTCGCACCCCACTTCTAACACACACACACACACACACACACAAGCATACACACACACCAGATGTTTTTTCTTTCTTATTAGCTGTGATATGAATCATTAGTTGTCAAATAACTATCAGTACCTGGCTAAACCCAGGATACTAATCCTCTCCTGGCATTTTCAGAAACTGTAGCTTTTGAGTAACCTACTGAGTTGCATGATAGCCTGTACCTGCTCGCCAAAGGTTGAACATCTGGGGTGTGAGACACTGACTCAACAAAGGCTGAGATTCTTGGGCCCCAATATAGCAAACGGGAAGTAGCCAAGACTTTTCTCTGAATTACGCCCTTATTAGTGAAACTAGAAAGATAAGATAACTCTAGAGCCACTGCTACCCCCAAATGGCTAATAGTGTGCAGAAGAGGATAGCCACTGAATTAAAAAACCCACTTTAGACCCTGTACATTGAAAAGATGGGGTAGGCAATAGAACGGGCTATGGGAATTCAGGTAACAGGATCAGGTGGAGGTAGGATGATGATTGAGAGAGTTAATGATCATTCCTCCTCCTCTGATGAAGAATGCGAACTACGCTTTGAGGAAAGACAACAGGAACAAAAAGTGTGGAAACATAATTCTTATTGAGAAGAGGAGAGAATTGTTAAGAATTAGAAGGGCTTATGTTTCCACAGGTAGAATAATGCAGAGATTTAAAGAACCGCAGCTCCAGGAAGTAGTACACTGCAGGTGGCCTCGGGCTTAGCCAATACAAAGTGAGTAGATTGTTCCAAAAAGATCCCAAAATCAAGATAAGGGTGGAGCCAGCTCAGACCAGTTCAGGTCAACCTGAGGACACCTGAAAAATGTTAGTGCGCCTGTTTAATGAACTTCATTACTATTATCTGACACACCCCGCATAAAATTAGAGCCTCATTAACGAGTCGTGGGACGTATGACCAAGGGAGGGGGAACATGCTTGAGCATATCAAGGGGAAACATGGAAGGAAAGGTGTAACCTGGGAAGGGATGGACCAATCAAGGCCTGGGAGGTTTCGCACTGAGTTCAACTGCATAAAAGCACACTTGCCCTTGCACTCAGGGCCCACCCCTCCTGAAGAGGGGTGGAGCCCGCTTCTGGCCAGAAACATCTAAATCCTCTGGACTTTCTTTATGATAAATTTTCTTGATACTAAAAAAAAAAAGATGGGGTTGGATTGATAAAATCCCCAATGTGGAAGAGATTAAGGAACCTCCTTCCAGAACGGTATCATGGTGGGTATAAAAGTGCCCTGATCCCCAATTTGGAACACACATAGACATTCTGTAACTGGTTATGGTTTGCTACCAAACCATCTGGTGAGGATACAAACTGTTGATTGGTTGTGTAGATAAATGTGTTCTGGTATAAAACAACCAGGGTCTTGTTCTTGGGCTCCAGCTTTCTCCTGCCTAACTGCTGTTCCAGTAAAAAAAAAAAATGATGTAAGAGGAGAGGCCTCAAGCCCTTCCCACCAGAGATTGACATGTATCCCATGAATACAGAGCTTTTCTCCTTTAAATTTTTCGTTCTTTCTTGTTTTGAGTGAAGGACATTAGAATTGGCTATGATCTTGTATATTTTGAAAGATCAGATGAGTAAGCCACAAAAGTCTGGGAGCTGAAGTCTATGTAAGGACTTGCCCTTTGCCAAAAGCCAGATGTCAAACAGAAAAGTCCCAGACAATCTGCTTGGCCCAGTTCAGAAGTAGCAGAGAGGCAGACTCATCTACCTATCAGCCATGCCGCATTTAGAAATGAACTTGGAAAAAATTAATTTAAAAAATATATAGTGCAAAAAGAAATTCACTTGATAGGTGTGGTGAATGCTATGTAGAAGTAGTATTAAATCTGAGTCCAGGTTGTGGTTTGTCCATCATTCTCAAAGAGGCATCAGGGAGATGATGACATGACTTGAAATTGACTCTGATTGAGTAAGGGAGGTCTGTGCCCTCACCAGACTCATTTTCTCCTCCAGAGCCATCTGGGTCCAGTGGCCAGATATTCATCAGGATGACTGGAGATGGCCCAGGATACAGTGGGAGACGTTGGCCCTTTTAAGCTAAAGTCTTTTCAAGTTTTCACTTTGAGTGAGGCAACACCCATTCAGTGAATAGGCCTCTTTAAGAAATGAGTCAAGGATAGCCCCTTTAATTAAAAAAAATCAAACTGGAAGGAGATCCTCAGAGTTACTGGCCAAAAGAGAAACAGTAACTATTTACATTCACTCTGAGCCAAGAGGGCCCAAAAATAACCATTACTTGGGCAGGGACCTATTGCTGTCCAATCCATGAGATCCAGAGCGAATTGAGTTTAAGGCTTGGTCTTTGAGAAAGAAATCTAGCCATTCTCTGAGTCCGTTTTCTTTAGGGACAGTGATGGCTAGGGAAGATTGATTCCAGGTGATGAGAGGGAATGTTGGTACTTCTGTTCTGGCTACACCTTCAAAGTAAATATCCCTTTGTAAAAGCTAATTGATGCCATTGAATAGAACTGGGGCACCAATCACTGATGCTTATGGGGGGAACACACTGCATAGGGCACTGAGTTGATAACTTAGAGAAAGATACTTTTGACCTTTCAGAGGTTTCCCTAGAACTGAATGGAATGATGTAGCTGGCCTCACTCTGAAGAATGAGTTCAGCAAATCACTACAACACTTACTACTTTTGTGTAATTGAACAACTGATGACCTCCCTAGATATCAATTTCCTCATCTATAAAATGAGGAGGTTGGATTAAATTACTTCTGAGGTTCTATCCAATTCTAAATCCTATGTTCCAAGGTTTCTGTCTCTGCCTATTATCATCTTTCCCTTGTCCTGCTATTTTTCCTCCTTCCTCTCCCCATAATCAAAACCCAAATTGTCAGGTGGGTGCCTATAGAGGATATGGTCAAGATTGGAAAGACAATGTTAACTCCTTCATTCCTGCCACTCCAAGCCCTACTACAAATTGTCCCAAAGAACAATTCTGGACACTCATTCCAGTAATACCTGGGCTGACATACCTGATTTCTCCGGGGCTTATCATGACTAATTTTCTCATAAGACATCATGTTCATATCTGTGGGAAAAATAGAAGCAAAGAATAGAGATGCCCAAGCTGGAGTGGGGTACTCCAGAAGTCATCCTTCCCTCCCCAACCTACCACTTCATTGCAGGA